GTAGCTAGCTGACTCGCTAGCCAGCTAGCTAGCTGACTAGCTAGCTAGCTAGCTAGCTAGCTAGCTAGCTGGCTGGCTAGCTAGCCAGCTAGCTGTTGCAATCGCTCGTCAGCATCCTAAAGGGAAACATCCGCAGCTCAAAGCTTGACTGCAGTGCTGTTTCCGTTGCTGTTGTTGCTGCTGCTGCTGCTGTTGCTGCTCCTGTTGTTGCTGCTGCTGCTGTTGCTGCTGCTGCAGCCATCGATACGAACGAATAAAACCTTCCCCCCCGTCGTGACCCTTTGCAGGACCTGCAAGTTCTGCTGCTGCTGCTGCTGCAGTTATTGCTGCTGCTGCTGCTGCTGTTGCTGCTGCTGCTGCTGCTGCTGCTGCAGCGGCAGCAAGTTGTTTACCTCAAGGAGCTGCCGGAAGAATTCGTCCGGCAGCAGCTCTCCATCTGCGCCCATCAAACGAGTCGCCCGCAGACTGCTGCTGCTGCTGCTGCTGCTGCTGCTGCTGCTGCTGCTGCTGTCAGTGTTGCTGCTGCGGCTGCTGCTGCTGCTGCTGCTGCTGCTACGGTTTCTGCTGCTGGCAGCTGAGAGCTGCTTGAGGAGGTTCTGTATGATGGGCGTTGACAGACACATAAACTCTATTTCATTCGTCGTGCTGCTGCTGCTGCTGCTGCTGTTGCTGCTGCTGCTGCTGCTGCTGCTGCTTGGTGCCATGTCTGCAGCAGCTGTGCTTCCCTCAGGACTTGCTGCTGCTGCATCCGCTGCTGCTGCTGCTGCTGCTGCTGCTGCTCTTCTGTGTTTGTTTATCTTTCTTATAGACCTGAAGAAGCTCAGCGGGGGCCTTGCTGCTGCTGCTGCGAAGACAGCGGGCTGCACCTCCCAATGAATTCTGCTGCTGCTGCTGCTGCTGCTGCTTTGCTGCTGCTGCTGCTGCTGCTGCTGCTGCAGTTGGTTCTTGGTGAGGCATGTCTGCTCTGCAAGGAGATGAAGGGCGAGAAGGAAGTGTTGTGGCTGCTGCAGCAGCAGCTTGCTGCCGCATGCAGCAGTGATTTGGTGCTGCAGCGCAGCAGCAGCAGGAGCGAGGAAGTCTTTGTGCTGCCGCTGCTGCCTGTATGCTGGTTGCTGCTGCGGCAGCAGCAGCAGCTGTTCTATCTCTTTATCTACAGCAGCAAGAAAGGAGGTGTGCTGCAGCAGATAGTAACGAGATATAGATTGAGCGTTCCCCGCTATCTTCAGTCTCTTTATC